CTCTTTCTCTTTTTTTCTTCCTTTACTTTCTTTGAAATGGAAAAACAGATTTTATTAAAAAACCGAACCAAAACCAAGCCCAAAAAAATAAAACCGAATAAAAACCGAAAAAAATTGAACCGAACCCACCCCTAAACGAGTCTCATCTATATTAGAGAGGTGGTAACGGTATTTCATTAAGGATAATACTATTCACACAACTCTATTTACCTTCCACATGCTCTTGCTATTTTTTATCCATTGATCTTTTTCGATTCATTCGATCTGACGGCCAAAAATTAATACGAGTGTGTGAGAGGTAAAAATAAGTGTATGGACGACACACACTTTCATTAATTGTCACATGAACATAAGAGTGCCATTTGTGGATTAAGAAACTAATATAAGAATGAATTTTGTACAAATAAGCGTAATTCTGAATGAGCGACCGTTTTGAGCAAAACGAGCCGGTGGGCCCAATTAGTTGTTTGGACCAAGGGCTGAGAGAGAATAAAGAAACCGAGAGGGACCACCAATGAGACTGTCAGTATTTGGACTTTGACTCTTTCATTTGTTGAGGCCTTTCTAATTTGGTCGGTTCTTCATCGCTTCCATTTGGGTCGTTGGATGAAGCATTTGGACTTTCAATTTCATTGCTTGTCCAAAAAAGAATATTTAGAGTCCATTGCAAAACGAGCCGGTAGGCCCAACTAATTTTCAAGACACTGCATGGTATTAGATAATATGAATTCACAAGATCATAATAAAAACAATCACTCAAATTATACTATTCATTTAATACTCGTAATATTCAAACAACCACAAGCTGGTGGTCCAGTGGTAAAAGACGAATTACAAGGCTTCCTTAAAACTAAAAACTGGGGGTCTCGAGTTCGAAACCCGTTGCTGGGCTGGAAGTTAGACTTGTGGCCAGAAGAATGCTTAAATGCCTCTGAGTCTTCCCAATGCCCATAAAAGGTGAATAAGCCACTAGTTGTCTCATGTAAAAAAAAAAAAAAAAAAAAACTTGTAACATTTGAACTATTTAGCGTAAAAGAATTTCAACTAACAATATGACACGATTATAATATCTTTACCCTTTGACCTGGATAATTAACCCATACACTTACCCCATCCACCTAAAAAGAAAAACCGATACCGTTACCCACAGATAGATCCACTCTAATACAATCGGCAAAAAAACATACAAAGACGAGAAACGGCGTTGAAAAACTGGCGATCCGAAGAGTCCTTAACGTCCGGGAAAAAAAATAAAAAACGATCCTTTATCTCTTCAACCACGGCGTCCTATTTTTCCATCAAATCATCACCCACAATAAAATATCACCCAAAATTCCCTTATGTCAACGTCTTCGATGTCGTACACGTTCGCTCTCACCCATCTTTCCGTCCACCGTCTCACACCCTAAACAAACCCCTGCCCAGTTGACAAAAATAGAAAACGTCTGCCCCCGGTCACAGGAAATCTCAAACGACAAGTTATTTCCCCATCAGCCGGCTCCCGATCTGAGAACAAAATGTGGTACGGAACTCGAGGATAAGATCAACGGCTCCAGCTGCCCCGTGTTTAATCTGATCTCAGCCGTCCATCGCTCATCGTCGTGTTATTAGTTACACCCCCGCGCCACGCTGAATCAATCTCTCTCTCTCTCTCTCTTCTCTCTCTCTCTACCGGCGGGGGACGAAAGCGAAGTTGTGGAAGAGCTCGCTGAAGGCTGACTTGCTGACTCGTATCTGGTTCGGGCTCGGGCGAATCTTCGCGGGGCTTGGCGCGCGAGGTTTGGTGCGACGGCAGAGCTGGCGAAGGCCATGGCAGTGATGAGAGGGAGCGTGTGGAACCGTAGGACGGTACAGAGGCTGCGGCAGCTGCTGATCTCGACCGTTGGATCGATGAGGGTCAAGCTTCTGCTGTGCTGTTGCATCGGATTCACGCTCATCGTGCTCGCGAATCGAGCTTCGGATTTTATGGGATGGACGAGTCACACTGCGGTTCTGGAACGGTCCTCGGATTCACGGTCTTAGATTTTTTTTTTCCAAAATCTCCGCATATCCGTATTAGTCGCTAATCTTTTGATTGCTCAAGCTTCCACTTGCACATCACTGTTAATAACTCTATTTTTAGTAAATAATTAAGCTCGGTGTTTGTATTTTGATGTTCTACTTTCTTTTAAATTCTATATTAAGAAAGATTTGAATACAATCCCAAACTTCTCTGAACTTTTGGATTAGTGATCTTAATTGGAGTGTTGAGAATAACCTCCATATTAGATATAATCCATGGGTTCAGGTATATTTTTTCTTGATTTATTTTAAGAATTTTGATTCCACGGATTGAGGGCGAGCCTTGTTACAACGGAAAGGTTGCTCTTTTGTGACCGAGAGGTCAGAGGTTCAAGCGGGAGCTTTGATTCCGATGGAAACGGAGTGTTAGCTATTAAGGATATGGTCACTGTTCTGCTTCAACCCCATTTTTCGATTTGGGAAAGACTGGGAAGATTAAGCTGACTTTGTGTTGTTCTCGTTTTCTAAAGAGCACATTCCTAGAATTTTTTCGATTGTCTTATTGTTGATTGTATCGTAGTAGAGAGATACGATTTATTAAGTATTCATGCTGAAATTTGCAATTTGTATGCAGGAAAGGGTATTCTATTGTAATGAACACATGGAAGAGATATGATCTTCTGAAGCAGTCTATTTCTCACTATTCTCGATGCCCTCGGCTTGATTCAATACATATTGTGTGGAGTGAGCCAAGTCCTCCGTCCGATTCTCTGACAAAATTTCTGGATCACATTGTACATCTGAACACGAGAGATGGGCGACAAGTTGAATTGAAATATGATATCAACAAGGAAGACAGTTTGAACAACAGATTTAAAGAAATTAAGGATTTGAGAACAGATGCTGTTTTTTCAATTGACGATGATGTTATATTCCCTTGTTCTTCAGTAGAATTTGCTTTTGATGTTTGGCAAAGTGCATCGGATACAATGGTTGGATTTGTGCCTCGGATGCACTGGGTTGATCCGGTATGCCTCGATCTCCTACATTTTCTCGTCATTTAGAGAGTATTATCCAACGCTCTTGCTGTCTTCCCTATATTTTAAGTTTCTTGGTTGGAAAACTCATATTAATTTCTGTTTGAGGTACAAAGTTGGTTTTGATCTATTTGGGCTCGAAACTATGTATTGTTCATTTGTTCTATACTTTAGGGGAGCCAACATTTACTGAAGAAACCCCATTTCTTATTAACAATTTAGAAAACTCTGTATGGCACACTTGTCAACTGTCTTACCAGTTTTTATGCTCACTGTGCAGAAAGGTGATGAGAATCACTACATATATGGTGGATGGTGGTCAGTTTGGTGGACGGGCACATACAGTATGGTACTGTCTAAGGCAGCCTTCTTCCACAAAAAGTACCTGAGTTTATACACAAATGAAATGCCAGTGTCAATCAAAGAATTTATTACCAAGAACAGGTTTGCCCTTTTGCTTTGTTATTTGCTTCTTACCCTTATTTATATTTCTTTTGAGCTGTGTGCACATGTGAGTGCGTGGTTTTTGTTTAGTTGTAAATATTTTTCACTTAATATTGGGTTGGATTTCACCAGGAACTGTGAAGACATTGCAATGTCCTTTCTTGTAGCAAATGTAACTAATGCTCCCCCTATATGGGTGAAAGGTAATCATATATCCTCTGCAACGGCATGGTTTGTTTAAAATTTTCTTTCTTGCGTTTCTTTGTTCAGCCTTATATCATATGATGTGCAACAGGTAGCTATTTTGCTTGACTCACGGTCCTTATAATCTGAATTAGTTTGAAATGAGATAATATTACAGATAGATGTGTTATAAGAGTTGGAAGACAAACCATAATAAGTTCTGCATCATAAATAAGATCAAATTCTAAAAATGCAGCAGAGGAATCTTACACGGAACTTTAAGGAGAGGAGTAGGCATGTCTTAGCCGGGCATCTATCTGCTCCGTGGAATCTGCAGTGTCCGGACTACTTCTTTCACCAGCATAAATAGAATAATAATGGAAATGCCATCGGTTTTCATATGATTTTTAGGAGTAGACCTACGCTTCCTGTTTTCGCTACATTTTGGAAAAGAATTGACTTTCTTTTGTTAACATCTTAAAAAAGCAAGTTATGTCGGTGGCATGTAGATGCAATGATATTGTGTTCGTTTAGGCTACACCTAGGAAAATGTGTTTTATCATCCTTTGAAAACTTGGACTGGATGTTTCTGCATATTCTAATTGTCACTTTGGTTGATGCATACCAAGAAGTGCATTCGCAATACCTAACCACCATTCACCATTCATTTTTCATTTCTGTTGTAATATTTTCTCTTCTGATTACTTACGTCTCGCTACACATTACTGTACTTTTCATTCAGGTAAAATATTCGAGATTGGTTCAACTGGTATCAGTACCTTGGGAGGTCATACTGAAAAAAGAACCAACTGTGTCGATAGATTTGTTGCCGAGTTTGGACGAATGCCACTGGTACCCACATCTGTGAAGGCTGTTGACAGTCGAAACATCTGGTTTTGGTGATTTCAGAACACGCTTACATACTCCCCAATCAAATCCTGGAGCAATGAGAATTTCCACACTTTCCGTCCTGTTAAAGTTGCTACGGTACTTCTTTGTTCCTCGGATGTATAATATTTAACTCTCCGAAAATGTATGCGTTTTTGTGACAGCAGCGGCCAATTTAGCACGCCCATATAGATTGATATTCTTGTATTCTTACCATGTAACACGAGGCAGGCAGTCGCTATATGAGTAATGAGATAGGTCTTTTCCAGTTCCAGTTTGTATTAGGTTGACGTAGAATGAACAGTATTTCTCGATGACAGAGTCAGATGACCGGCGAGGAATTCACCACATCGTAGATTGGTTGGATAACCGTCGAGGAGTTTACTGTGCCCCGGAATTTATGCATTGCGGGATTCCATTTTGAATCTGTTTAATTTAGACAAAAACTTCATCAAAACTCAATGTCAGACACATTTCTTATTGCGATCAAACTGGATTACAAAACTAAGAGAGGCGATGAGTCTGCGATTATTCCGGTCTAGAACGAGAATGACATTTTTATTCTCTCCGTCGCATTCTTTCCTATAGATAGATAATTTACTCGGGGCCGGAATACATCCCTGGCAGTGCCGGATATCGGTACCCCGTCAAAATTTAGCAAAATTACAAAACTTTGTTGTAGTTATCGTAGGATGTACTGAGAGGGAAGCAAGTATCTTCGGCGCCGGTGCTCCAAAGGAAATTGGCATACTTGGAGGCGTAAAAGGGATTGTCGGGCTCCTCTGCCATTGCTTGCTGGTACCTCTCTTCTGCGCCCCACATGTCTTTCCTTACCAACCACAAGAAGTCTGCGTACCGGCTCAAGGCCTCAGCGTCTGGTTTCTCCCCTTGCACTGCGCGCCTGAAGCACTCCTCGGCCCTGCTAACGCAAACATAGATCACACAACACCGGTCAGGCAATCCTTTTCAGTCGAGTTAGGTTTATACAAACACATCATAAAACAAGAAAATGTATTAAATGCAAATTAGTAAGCACACTGAAGCAGATAGTTTGGTAAGTGATACTCACCTATCGTGATCGCGAGCCACGACATGGAGGAAATGTGCATAGTTTGAGAGCAGAAGTGCATTATGAGGATCCTGAGCTAAACCCATCTGGTACAAAAGATCAGTTCTAAAGTAGTGCTCATGATAATCCGGCTCGACAGTCACTGTTATCGGTGACACAAATTTCTGCACCGTTTCGTGATCAAGAGCCTCATCCCTTACTTCTGATTGCATTCTTGAAGCTTCCTCCATCACAGAGCTCCACAACTTCACCTCCTCCTCTGCCGTGAACTCCTCACCATTGAACAAGGAAATGCCATACATCTTCTCGATATCAACAACGGCATGCCTGAATGAAGTTTCTGTGCTCACATTGTCACGAAAATCGCCCTCCTTCGAGGTCTTCTTCACAACCCTAGTAGAATCGTCATCGGAAACATAATCGGGTTTTGAGTAGGGTTTTTCCTCTGTCTCAGTCTCGGTCAAAGTCTCAATCAATACAGGCAGAGGTGCTGCAACGACAGCATTGCAATTCATCGAATACACGCTGAAATTCGCCAGCAAGATCATCACGTAAACCATCAAAGTCGGGGACCCCGAAAACACCTGCTGAAACAACCACACAAACGACATGTTCATCTCTCGCTTCTGCACCTTGGCTATAACCTCCTGCAGATCTTCAGAGTACAAACTTTCCCTTATACTCAAAGCATGGCTATGGAGCTCACGGATTATAAACACCATGGAAGAGAATGCCTTGTTCAGGGAGCAAAAAGTAAATTCCCCGGCTTCTCTTTTTGGACCCTCCTCCCGTTGCTGCCGCTGCTTCTTCTTGATTAACCGGAGCGACACCGGAAGCTCGAGGCTGTTGGCCTTTCTTTCCATGGTGGCTCTGACGATTTCGCTTCTCTCCGGCCAGTCCGGCGGCTCCGGATGAATCCCCAGCAGAGAGGGTTCCAATGCATTGAGCTTCAAGCTCGAAAACCGCATCGAAAAGCCGCTGCCTTTGCTGTTTTCGCCTTCTGGGTAAGTCGAAATCGGAGAGATTTTTGAAGTTTTCGACGCCAAGAAAGCCGGTTCGTCGACGTTCTCATCATCGTCCTCGGAAAGATTGAACCCTTGCGCCAATTCCTCAATCTGGTTCGACAATTCTTCGTACGAAAAATCATCAAACTTTGCTCTGCAAACTTGGTTCGAAGTACGTTGACGTTTCGAATTCCCCGACCCGGAAGAGTTCAGCCAACGAACGAAGCCGCATCCCAGAGCTCCATTACTTCTTCCACTGGGTTTCGTCACAGAAGGAAAAGAAACCGAAAACGACGACCCTTTCGAAAACGAAGAAGAAATTGGTGCCGGAATCTGAAGCGAGCTCCGCCAGCTCTTAGAACAGGGGACGATTCTGGAACCCATATCTCCAAGTCAACGATCAGGATTTGGAGAAGACGATGAGAAAAGATTAAACACAGAGAGCCCAAAAACTGAAAAAAGAACGAAAAAAAAGTGCAAAAATGGAGAAAAATCGGTTCACAGTTCACACTAGCAGTGACAAGGGAAGTCCGTGTGCAACAAAAAGTGGAGCTGCCGGATATTTTTCGTTGGGTTTTTAAAGGAAACAAGGATTTGGATCCGCCAAAAAGTGTCTAACTGGGCTCCAGAAGTCGCTTCATGAATAAGTAGCTTTTGCTTCCATTTAATCCAACCTGAATAAAAAGATAAAAAGGCCTAATCAGGTTACAAAATTTCAAATCCACAATGATAAGGACTTTGGGTTTTCACACTTTTTTTCTCTTCTACTCTTTCTTTTTCTCAAGCCATTTTTGAATAAGTGAAACAAAACATCAAGAAAATATAAATTATGCAACAAAAATACAAAAATAGAACAAGTGGCGCAAAAGGAGGGAACGCAGTGGCGAAATTCTTTTCTTATATGACTAAAACAAGATTTTCTCACTCACATTTTGACGTTCTGCACTTGTTTTGATCTTTCAATGTAAATAAATGAAAGGAAATCCGATGAACATAAATGAAAGTGAATATTACACAATACACCGCCTCAAATTATTGTAAAAGAAAATCCTTAAAAAAAAAGGTTGGAAAACAAGAAAACGCAAAGTGTGAAATGAAGAGAACGTTACATCGAGGGAGATTATTATTTTCCCGGCCGTGGAGAAATCATGAAATGATCTCCATTGACGATGAACACCATGGCTCGAATGGCTTCCCACCACCATTTTACGTCACGAATTGCTCTACCATGGAGGAGCAGACAACCTCAGCTTCAAATTTGGACTTTGTTTTATTCTTCCTCTTTTTTCTTTTGTTTCTGTTGGAATTGAGAGAGAGAACCAAAATTTTAAATGAGAAAAAAGGGCAAAAGATAGGAAGAATAAGAATAACTTACAACCTTTTCAGGGTCTTTGCTTGTTGGCCGCAGAAAGGTAGAAATTCGCGGGTGTATATTCAGTCTGTGGACTTGCATCGCACGTACGTGGAGAACACCTACTGCTCAATTACGATGATCAACGGTTTAGATTGTTACTTAAATGAAAATTAAATTCTTAAAAAATAAGTTTTTGAGACCTGAGATCTCAACACAAATATTATACATATGTCAACTGAATCTTAAACCTCATGTTTCAATGAATTTTAGAAATCGTCGTTTTTTTAACAAAATAATTTAAGAACTGAACTTTTAGTTGAGTAATAATTTAAATACCAAGTCGATAATTTAATATATGGTACGTGAACTAAATTAATTAGCTTTATAAAATAAAATCCTAAATTTACAAGTTTTCCTTAAAAACAAAAAAAAGTTATCATTTTTACAATCAATAGGTTCCTTTTGAAAAAGCAAAAACAAAAAAAGTTGTGTACATGTGGAGTATGTCGTTGTAGTACCGAATCACATGTGACTACAATAACTAAGGACTTCTCCGCAAGCTAACACTTGTCGACATACTACCAACTGAACTCACATATGTCGCCACCATATGTAGATGTATGTCAACGTGCAAGTTGGCTCCAAATTAGCTGCACGCTGAGGGTTAAAAAGAAGAAAGCAATACTCTCTGGATCCCTTCTACCAAATCCACAAAATCCAATACTCTTTGCCATTGAAATTTGATCCAATGGCTAAAGTTGTTATAACTTCTAAAGGGGTCTCCTGTTTGAAACCGTTGAATCAAATTTCAACAGTTCGGATTATTGGACTTGATGGACTTGGTGGAAGGCATCCGCAGATGATCCCTTTCCTTAAAAGAATACCAATTCAAAATGTTGAGAAAGAAATTACATGTTCTTGGGAAGAGAATTTAAGTAAGTTGGGTATTTTTTATGTTATCGATTGATTTTACAGTAAAATTTTTACTTTTTTTCTTCACAAAATGCTAAAAGTAGAAAATCATGCAATTCTTGGTTTGAAAATTGGCAACCCAAATAATTTTCAATTCACGATTTAGGCCTCGAATTACCAATTAACGATCTGATCGGTAACCTTAGCTCCTCTTATCACCCAATTCGATCGGGAAGCACATCTCACGTAATCTGTTTGATAGGTATAATATATATGCCTGTAAAAACTCATAGACTATCAAAATTATAATCCCAATTAGAGCATCTCCAGCAGTCAAGGCAGAAAAAATTGGAGGCAATTGCAAGGAAGGCAGGAGCCCTTGCGTTGCAACTGCCCTGCTCCACAAGTCGTGAAAGTTGAGGGACGAATTCTAAGTTTTACTCTGATTTTTTATTTACGTGTTAGCGAAAGAGCTTTATTTTGACTCCAATAAATAGTGAGGTTGGATGGTATTTTATTAGGTTAGTTCACTATATGCGGTTTAACTCATATAATTTTTAATTTTTAGTATATATGAGGACATTCTTAACTAGCAGGAATCTCGTTTCACTGTAGTAAAAACTAAATGATAGGGCCTTCATAGGGCCCTCTCTTATTATGGTCATAGGAGGTCTGAGTGAAAACATAGTCTCTTTGCTATAATAAACTAGATCTCTGCTAAGAAGATGTTAATGTATGGTCCATTAATATAGTGCATTGATACGGAAAAAATTAAAATAAAAAATTGCCACAACTCATTTCTAATATGAAAAATAAAATAAAATAAATTAAATTGTGTAGAGTATTGATTTCAGAGATGGTTAATTATGGCCTTTTGTTTGAGGATACACGGTAGATTCTTCAAAGCTTCAAGCAATGGAAGGTTTCGTTTGGTCGAAGAGATACAAACAGAGTGGCCCATCGCCTTGCATGGTTTAGTTTAACCATCGATCATCTAGTTTCTTGGTTCGAAGTACTCCTAATGTAATTTCTGATTTATTATTGGAGGATAGTACTAGTAGTTAATTTTGGTGCATGACACTCTTTTTCCCTTCGATCGGGTTGAAAGCCCCGACAAGGTTTTTATTGAGGCCTACTGTAAGCATCATTTCCTTGATTTTGTACGTATTTCACTATTCAATGAATATTGTACTTTGTCTCAAAAAAATAAAAAATAAAAACAAAAGGATTTCACCATAGCAGCGGCCTCATCTTTCTCAATAGGTCCGAGATTTCAAACTTCTGACCTATTAGGGAAGATGAGGTTGCCCACCTTCCTAACCTTAACATAGCGGAGCCCATAGTCAGCCCAAATTTGATCCTGTTAAACTTTGCGATCGACATACTCCTAGCACTATCAGCCAGTTTCTGGTCATGCTCTTTTAGCATTGCCATTGCCAACTCCGAGTTGGACACTACGACGTTCAGTGTGAATCCAATCCACACTGATAAGATAGGCCTAAATACTTGGGCCACGCAGTGTGGGTTTATGTCGAAGAAGTTTCCGACAATCGGCCACCGATTGTGGACCGGGTGGGAGCTTGAATCTCAGCCTTTGGTAGAGCTTGTATGGAAGGAAGATCAGGAGGACGATTGATGAAATGGGAAGCAATCATAGTCCATGGAGAGCCACGTCACATAATATAGGAGAAGGCTACTTCGGACATGCAAATGCTGGAGTTGGAAAGTTGCGTCGGGGATCCATTTGAGCAAGTGTTGTGTATTGGTCAGAATATTTTGTGTTGTTCCAATTTTAGCGGATGTTTTTGCAAGGATTAATTATGAGTTTGTTTGGATGTACTTTTAAAATGACTAAAAACGTTTTTGGTGAAAATGTTTTTAAAATCAATCCTTAGTAAAAATGCAAGTGAATCATAAAAAAAACACTTAATTGGTGTTTCTTACATAAAGCACTTCAAGTACTTTTGGAACCTAAAACAATTTTCCTAAAAGCACTTTCAATCATTTTAAAAGCACATTCAAACAAGCCCTATGTTTAAAACAAATAATTATGTGTTCATCCCTAGAAGGGCAAATAACTTGATATTTTAATTTCCATGTGGACTTCCAATTTTGTATTACCGCTAATACCGTTGATGTTGTTAGTTTCGAGGAACAGAAACAAGCTGCGTCTCATTCTGATGTCCTTGAATTTGTTCTACTTCTCAATTCAAACGAAAGATTTCAAGATTTTCATAGATTCGAGTATGGCGAATGTACTCTTATGAGGGTACGCTCAATAACAATTACCTATGTAAAAATATCATGAAAAATATCCGTGGTTCATCAAACTAGTACAAAAGTCATCTATGTGAAGAGAAATAATAGGGGTATTTCCGTAAACTCCCACTTTCATCCAACCTACATGGTGCACCTAATTGCTAAAGCGCAAACTTCTTTGGTCACATCTTCCAGCAAGGACTCTTACCACTGCTGCGAAAACCGATTATATATAACGGCCCAGCAGCGATGAAGCTTTCTCATCTCTGTAGCTGCAGACTCTCTCAGGTAATCAATTATTTCATATATAATATATAGTCACTCATCTTGTTCAATTCTCTTTTTTGGCTAAACGTCCTCTAGATTTTATCGACTGTATTTCAAAGTTTAGTTTTTAAATTCAATGTTAAGTTTTACTTAATATTTATATCATATCTTCAGATTTTGCAATGAACGAATTAAGAAAGAATATATCTGGAGAGATATATTTAACTATGAAGCTTTTTGGAATGGAAGGGATAGGAAAGAAAAAAGACTTCAGGTAATCTCATTCAAAGTTATCGCTTTTATAATCAATAGGTTTCTTTTTCTTTAAAAAAAGAAAAAGAAAAAGAAAAAAAGAGTTGCATGCATGTGGGGTATGTCGTTGCAGTACCGAGTCACATGTGACTACAATAACTAAGGAATTCTCCACAAGCTGACACTTGTCCACATATTACCGATTGAACTCACACGTGTCGCGACCATATGTAGACGTCTGTCATTGTGCAAGTTGGCTCCAAATTAGTTTTGTATCACCGCTAATACTGTTGATGTTGTTAGTTTCGAGCAACGGAAACAAGCTGTATCTCATTCTGATGTCCCTGAATTTGTTCTACGTCTCAATTCAAACGAAAGATTTCAAGATTTTCATAGATCCGAGTATGGCGAATGTACTCTTACGAGGGTAAGCTCAATAACAATTTCCTCTGTCAAAATATCACGAAAAATATCCATGGTTCGTCAAACCAGTACAAAACTCATCTATGTGAAGAGAAATATAAGGGTATTTCCGTAAACTCCCACTCAATTCATCCAACCTGCATCGTGCACTAGAGCGCAAACTTCATTGGTCACATCTTCCAGCAAGGACTCTTACCACTGCTGCGAAAACCGATCATATATAACGACTCTGCAGGGATGGAGCTTTCTCATCAGTCTCTATAGCTGCAAACTCTCTCAGGTAATCAATTATTTCATATATAATATATAGTCGCTCATCTTGTTCGAGTTTCTTTTTTGGCTAAACGTCCTCTAGATTTTATCGACTGTATTTCAAAGTTTAGTTTTTAAATTCAATGTTAAGTTTTACTTAATATTTATATCATATCTTTAGATTTTGCGATGAACGAATTAAGAAAGAATATATATGGAGATATATCTTCAACTATGAAGCTTTTTGGAATGGAAGGGACATGAAAGAAAAAAGACTTCAGGTATCTCATTCAAGAATTTTGCTATTTCGTTTTTTATCTCTTTGTTTTTTTTTTTTTTTTTTTTTTTTTGTCCTGAAGATTTTCTGTCTTGATTTTCCTCAATTTTCACACTGTGGATATCTTTAGGTCCTCTAAAAAGTCCAAGACGACACGGCTAGGCTCGTCTTTGACCACCTCTATGATTATCTTCACCCAGAATCCTATTCCCGACCCTTCCTCTTTTGTCTGCTGAACCTCACATGACAGTTTTGGAGATGAAGGGGGAAATATTTGTGTGCGAAGAAGCGAAGGGTAGTTAGCTTGAGTGAAGCAAA